ATTTAGGGGTATTTCACTGTATAAGAGTGTTGCCTCACATTCTGACCACAGAACCTAATATTTGTGAAACATGAAACTCTTAACTGTATTAATAATGATAAAATCACCGTGTTGCTAGAGTTGGCCGAAGACAGAGTTCAGTGTTCTGCCAGAAGTCTGGGGACCTGGCAGCACCTGGCAGAGTGCCAGAGCTCTGCACTCATGCACGTGCAGGCATGGATAGGAGGGCCACGGTTTCCCATACAAACACTTGTGAGCAAGTTATTGTTCACTTCACTTCATCATCATCAGCTTCATTTGCAGTGGAGTTGTTGTTTAGTATTGCTCTCTACAGAGCACGGTAATGTACATTTGTATCAACACTATTTCTGGTCTAAAATTTCCTATCATCTAGGCTTTAAGGCGTCCATGCTGCTATGCTTTAAATACAAATTTACCACATTCCTACTGCTGAAGTTTGAGGCCACTGGTCTAGGTGATGTAGGGGTTAAATGCCATCCAAATAATTTCTGGATTAAAAAATGCAATACTAAGAAACTGGGATGCTAGCCCAGACTCTCAGCTAAGTGACAGAGGTGGGATTTCAACCCAGGCCTCGGAAGGCAGCATTGTTTTGAAGGAAAAGAAGGAGCTAATGTGAGAGGATGTGCTGACTCAGTGTGTGACTCAGTTCTCCTCAGTGTGTGACGCCACTCTGCCCACCTCGGCAGGGGTGAAGGCCCTCCCCTGTCTCCTTGGGTGCTGGGTGGTTACCTGGACACCACCTAAGGACACGTGGCACCTTGGATTCTATGGAGAAAGGCCTTTCCTCCTGGCCTTCCACTTGCTGTCTACAATCCGACCCAGGAAACTCATCAGCTCTTAAGGCTTCAGGGATCCAGATCTTGCCAGCCCTTCCTGGACCCACTCACATAATAGCCATTTTCAAACACCTTCACTTGGCTGTTCCATCATTACGTCCCACTTGACTTTTCGTTTTCCTTTGTGTTGATGGTACTGATACTCTTCTGGGGTATCTGGACAGAAACCCAGAGCCCACTCAAGCCTCTCGCTCCTCTGCACCCCACAGGCCTACTCTGCTCGCTCATGCCTCCCACGATTCTGTGTGTCCAGCCCAGGCTTGGCCCAGGCCCCCTCACCCAGCCCTGCATGACTGATGAATGATGCCCCTCCCTGCCCTTCCACTCGCAGAGCTGCCCCAAGTCTGTGCGCCCTGCTGCAACTGCCATCCTGCCCTGGCCCAGGCCCCCAGGCCCGTCTCCTACAAACTCTGGCTTCTTTGATCCCATCAAAGCCAGCCTTCAGGAAGCCCCAGTAGCTCTCCACTCTGCCCCATGAGCCCAAGCCCCATCGAGATTCTAGGGCCGCCACAACCTCATCAGCAGGATCCCAGACAGGTCTGGTGGGGAACCCCCCTCTGCATGCCTGGATCCTCACACCAGCCCCCCGGGGCCGCAGGCAAGTTCAGCCCCAGACATGGCCAGGGGCGGGGGGGACTTGCTGTCACACAGGATGAGGTTGAACACCCTCTACCCTCCATGCCCTGGCTCAAGGCACAGCCAGATTCTGTGGCCAACACAGAGTAAGCACGTGGCAAACACGTGTTGTCAGAGTAGGTGGGCAGGCGATGGGGACAGGAGACAGAGCCAGAGACACACAGCGAAGATGGGAGTGAGGGAGTCAGTCCTGAAAACTCAGGGCACCTCAGCCAATCAAGGCTGGCGGGGAGGGCAATGCTGGGCTGCAGGGCTGATACCTGAGGTATGGGTGGGCAGTGCTGGGGAGTGATCACCGTGCAGGGACAACTGGGAATATCCCCAGAGCCCTCGGGGTTGGCGTCTACTTCCCAAGTGTCTCTGCCATCATGTTAAGAAAAAATAACATTTCCCTCTCTCCATCTCCAGAGAATTTATTAAAAAGGGCCTGTGTACACACAGAATTGGAGCCCCAGCCTCCCAGTCTAATTATCATTTTAGAAGGTATTGGGAAAGAAATTCCACCTGCAGTCCAAAAAAAAGAAGTCAGAAAAGCCTGCGGTGGGGAGGGCATTTGGGCTTTCATTGCTTGTTTCCACGACATCGGACATTGACACTGGGCCGCTGTGGCAACATAGCCTGATGGGGTCTAAAAACCAAGGCAGACAGTCCCTCCCGAAGCCACTGTGGTATGAAGAGGCACCTGACACCAGCTGTGGGCAGGCCCTGAGAGGGCCCAAGAATGCAGCACTGAATCTGATGGTCCTGGCCGCAGCCAAGCCGAGAGCCCACCCAGGAGCCGAAGCAGAAGGAGTTCCTGTAGAGTCAGGAGGACAGTGGGCTGGGCAGAGGGAGCTACAGAGGGGCACAGAGCATGGGCATGACCCAACCACGGGCACAGTGCGAGGCACGACCCGGTCACAGGGCACAGAGCATGGGGACGGCCCAGCTACAGGCACAGAGCAGGGGCATGACCCAACCACGGATACAGAGCATGGGCATGACCCAACCACAGGGCACAGAGCATGGGGACGTCCCAGCCACGGGCACAGAGCACGGGCATGACCCGACCACAGATACAGAGCATGGGCATGACCCAACCACAGATACAGAGCATGGGCATGACCTAACCACGGGGCACAGAGCATGGGGATGGCCCAGCCATGGGCACAGAGCATGGGCATGATCCAACTACAGATACAGAGCATGGGCATGACCCAACCACAGGGCACAGAGCATGGGCATGACCCAACCACAGATACAGAGCATGGGCATGACCCAGCCACAGATACAGAGCATAGCCATGACCTAACCACGGGGCACAGAGCATGGGGATGGCCCAGCCGCGGGGCACAGAGCATGGGCATGACCCAACCACAGATACAGAGCATGGGCATGACCCAACCATAGATACAGAGCATGGGCATGACCCAACCATAGGGCACAGAGCATGGGGACGGCCCAGCTATGGGGCACAGAGCATGGGGACGGCCCAGCCACGGGCACAGAACACGGGCATGGCCCAACCACAGGCAGACATGTGCTTGAGCCTTGGTGAGTCAGAAGAACATTTCACAGCAGAGAGGAGGAGCGGGAAGGGCATTCCAACAAAACTGACACCATAAGCCAAGGTCTGGAGGCCTCAGAGTGTCACTGTCTGGGGAGCAGCAAGCGGGGAGGCCCCTGGACCACAGGATATAGGACAAGCAGTGGGTCATGGGAGATGACACTGAAGACAGAGGTGGGCTGAGATTCTGAGGGACTCAAACAACAGGGGGAGAAGTTGAGGCTTGGATCCACAACAAAGGACCACGGAGGCTCTTGAGGACCACTGCAAAGACCTTGAGGCCTCCTCTGCTGCCCATCACTGCCAAGAATACCAACCAGCCAGGAGTGTCACTATTATCAATGGGGCATCAACAAGTATTATAAGTATTATAACATTTGAAAGATCAAATAATCAAAATAATGTCTGTGAGATCATTCATACACATACACACACACACACACACATACACACAAAGTGAACACCAAGTCAGACCTAAGAACTGAAGTTAGGGCTGTGATTAGATGTAAAGTGATGCAGGAGGACTACCCTTGCAGGGAAGAGAGGTGTCTTGCAAGCCCACCCTGGTACAGAGCATGGCCTGTACCAAATGAGACAAAGTGTGGCTGAGACAGTCATCCCAGAGCTGATGTCCCAGGTTGTGTACATCACTTGGGACCCCATGTCCTTACCCTTTAGTCAATTCTTACCAAGTCTACTAGTTATCTGGTATTTCAAATGATAGCAGAAGAAAAGAAGGGATAAGAGGGAGGCAGAGAAAGGGGCTGTATTTTAGGCAAAGATGCTGACCGGCCCAGAGTGAGACAGACAGATTAAAGAGTAGACACAGAACTATAATTGGCAGTGAGCTGTGCTCTGCATGTTCTGTAAGTCTGGGAACATGGGGAGACCTCTTAGCACAACAGTCCCCAGGGTGTTCTATAAATATTTATCCTTTGAGGACTCAATGACAGAAGGATTCCATGATCAAATACATCTGGGAGACTCTGCACACTACATCTTTCAGCAGATCAAAATCATATACTGATATGGTAAAGGCCCTGAGAAGTCCTGCAGCAGAATTCTACTCACCAGTGATCCTCAGTCTCTTGCCTTTTTTCCTCAAACAACACCTACTAACATCCCTTAGAACTACTATCTCACAGAACCCACTGGCTTAGAAAAATGCACTATTATTTGTCTGTCTTAAGGAACAATAATTTTTTCTTAAAAATAGTTGAAATGATTAAGTTTAGTGCCTTATGATAAAAGCTATAGTTGCAAGGGAAATTCACTTCATTTGACAAACCTCACCACTCAACCATGGTGCCAGAAAAGTAAAATGTTACTAACCTTCAAGAGCTCAGCCGTCAGTTCCTGGAGCCATTTCTGTCTGACTCCAGATCTCCCTTGAGAGTCAGATGCACACAGGTCACTTCATCTAGCCTCCTGCCCACGTAGAGCAGTGTAGGCCCATCACACTAGTCTCTCCAGGGAAGGAAGGGCCCCTGCAACCATGTGTGTGTGTGTGTGTGTGTGTGTGTGTGCGCGCGCGCACATGAAGGTCCAGCCAACAGCCATGCTAGAGAAGCACATTCTCCTACTGCTCTTTCACGACTCTCATTTAGAATCTTGTCCATCCTCCTCCATATGATGACACCCAAGAATCCAAACACTGTAAATAATTTAGATGTGCCATGGGGGCAGGAGAACACAGTTTGAAAGGTGTCCTTTCACTCCTGGAAACATTTTCTTACTGAGGTTTGGAGCTTCAGAAGGGCCCAGGGTCTTTACTGGGCTGGGACCAGGGTGCAAATGGGAGGCTCCTCCAAGACAACATAGATGTCCTGGGCCCCACGCACACCCTACTTTCCTCCAGCATCAGCAGTCCCGGGAGGGTGGCTGGCATGGTGTCCAGGCAGTCGTCAAGGCTACAAACACCATGAGGCTTAGTGAGGGGCAGGGACCCAGGAACTCACCTGGTATGTGTTGTCGAAGCTGTCGTACATGAACCGTGTGATCAGAGATGTCTTCCCGACTGTAAAACAAAAAGAGAGGGGTTCAGCTGTGATCCCGGCTAGGCTCCTCTAAACACACTTCATGCAATGAAAACAGATACTGAAATCAAAAAGCCCAGAGGAAAAGACGAGATGCAGAAACAGTGGGAGGTGGGACCCCAGAGAGGGACACTGAGGTGAGGTACCCAAGCCTACGTCGGGTGGGGTGCAGCGGACTTCCTGCCAGGCAGCAAGGAGGAGGCCTCTCCCCGCTCTGTGAACACTTACCACACAAATCCAGGTCTTCCTTGACCCATAAGAGCCATATAAGAACAATCATAGAAAGTGTGTGCATTACAGAATGCTTCTGTCACAGGCCTACATTCACCCGGAAATAACACCTTGCCCTTGGTCACGGGCTGGGATAGAGGCATGCTGTTTTATTTTAGCCTGTGGACTGTTGAGGAAGGTGACTCTCCAAGGAACCAGAAGGCAGGGGAAGTTAATGGATCATTCCCCAGTGTCTCTCATGGGCAGGACTATTCTTCAAAATGTGTACCTGACTGCCCAGCTCCTCACTGGATATTTAACATCCCTGGACCTTGCTGGGTGCGTGCCAGTGGGATCCCCAGTCATTGTGACAAGTGAGGACTCCCCTGCACATCCGCAAATCCTCTAAGGGCAGTAACATCTCCAACTGAGAACTACTGGTAGGACTAAGGGAAAAAGGACGTCTCTGGGGAATCCCGTAAATACTTCTGATTTCCCAAACTGCAGGATGTGGCTTCTGACCTAACCCTGTGCAGGTCCCTTGAGGCCTGGCAGTGGCAGAAATGCAGTAGCAGCATCTCTTGAGTATCTGGGTGGGGAGGAAGGGTGATAAAGGAATATTTGTTGGGTCAGGCCCAGCATGGAATGCTATACCATCCCACCAAGCCTCTACTATGGCCCTGGGAGGCTCAGAGGTAGACTGGACCCGCTGAGCTTGGCTCAGAGTCCCTTCTGCTCTGGGCTGTGAGAGACAGGTAACTCTAGCAGGGAGAGCAAAAGATCCAGTGCCCAAGAGTTCTCCATTCTGCCTCTCCCCAGTTCTCGGATGGGATGTCCACAGGCTGGAAGGGCTGGTCCCTGGTTAGACGGAGCAGGGCAACACAACGTGGCTCCCCTGGGAAAGGTCCCTTTCCAGTTCGGAAGCCTCAGCAGTGCAGCAGACAAGGGCAGTCCTCTCCTGACAGCTGGCATTTCTAAGGAAAGGGCAGTCGTCTTCCACAGGGAGAAGGCATGCAGCTTGGTTCCAGGCTTGCCCAGACTCCACCCCTTGGGTCTCTTCACTGGGCTGTTTCTGATTCGTATCTTTTGTGGTAAAACTATAATTGTAAAGAGTGCTTTCCTGAGTTCTGTGAGTTGTTCTGGTGAATTACGGAACCTGAGGAGGGCCGTGGGAACCCCCAGATTTGTAGCCAGTTGGTCAGAAGGGCAGGACCCTGGGGACCTCACTCACAGCTGGTGTCTGAGGTGGGTGTCAGTCTAGTGGGGGACTGTGAGTCCCCCACTTAAACCTGAGCAGTCTGATACCAGCTTAGCTCAGGTAGTGCCAGGACTGAACTGCAGTTATGTCTGCTGCTGTCAGAATAGCCCCATTTCTCTGCTGAACATCTCTGGGGTGAGCAGTAATACATCCAGGATCTCTTGGCTAAGTTTACCTGGAAACTGCCCTTTGAGCATCCAGTACAAATTAAATCTGTAAAGTGCTTTCCAATTGCTTTAAATCTCTGCTTAAATTCACATGAAAGTGAGAAATGGGGGCTTCCCACGTTGACTCTGAGGCCTCAGAAATGTGTGGCTGTTAACTGTTTAGGGGAACCCAGAGTGAGAAGTGGGGCAACCCCACGCCAGCAGGAAGAGGATGGAATCAGGGAGCATGTGGATCCTCCTCTTCCAAGAGCAATAGCAAGTTCCTGCCACCTCAGGAAAAGCACTGCACGGCCCGCTGGGAGCTCCCGTCTGTGGTGACACACAGCACCTTACCCCTCGGGGAAGGGACACGGTCCTTTTCTCCAACAGGCTCCTCCCTAGGACAGGCAGGAGAGACAGCAGAACCCCTAAAAGCCATGAGGGAACAGGAGGCTCATGGAGGAGATGAGAGAGCAGAAATCTCTGCGAGGCTTCTCTGCCAAGCCCCTTCTCAGGGCACCAGCCATGACCAGTGGCTCCACAGTGGCTTCCAGGGTAACGGCTAGGCAGGAGGAGAAAATGCCCAAGAAACGAGTAGCATTTTGGGGACCGCACAGGACAACCTTTTAGGTTTGGGGTCCTGGCCAGTGTCAGTATTTTCTCAGCTTTCTCACAGACCCAATAAAAGATGACACCTGAACCCTGTATTTATGGAGGTTGTATCAGACACACCACAGGGGCTGTGCCAGGCACAGATTTACATGGCAGCAATAAACAGGGGAGACGGGACACCCACCTGCCTAAAGCCTGTAGGACTTCTGTGCTTGCTGCAACACTAAGCTCCTAAGACTACCCTGGCTAGTCCTCAACTCTGAGTCGGGTACTTATGCACCTCCATTTTATACAAGGGGAAACAAGCTGACAGCTCCTTGCCCAGGGCCAGAGCTGAGTAGGGCCAGGATGAGGAGGTCGGACCAGGAACTGAGCTCCTATGCCTCACGCTCCTCAGCATCTCTGGGTCATGCTGGGTTACAGGATTCTGCCAGGTCATCACTGCCACTGTAGATGTCATGGAGCTCCAGGAATAGCTTTGCCTAAGCCAAGGAACCTTCTCCTTGGGATGGGCAGGAGGCAGGGTTTCCCCCTACTCGGGCAGTGCTTGACCCAACCTAGAAGGCCAGAAGCTAGGAATTCAGGCAAAAGGAAGGCTTAGAAAATCAAGGATGGATGGGTTAAGACACCTGGGGTGTAGCACCCCAAACTGAGGCCTGGGCTGAATGACAGCCTCATTATGGATTTGATGCAAAAGGGAATGATTTCTTCCCATTCTTCCAGGTCAGTTTTTTCATTTCTCACAACAGAAGCCCTCCTCTTCCCTGCCTCAGAGCTTCCCCAAGACCACCCATACTCTTTCCACGGCTGCTGGGCCGGTGTGGCTCAGACTCTGTCTGAACCTGTCAACTTGGCCTCCCTGCTTGGAGGCCTCCTCCTCGCCTCAGCCTCGGTCTGCGCCCTTCACTGCAGGCGAGTGTCCGTGGCCAGTGTGTCCTGCCCCAGCCCCAATTTGGCTAAGACTGACCGCCAGGTCTCCACCCTGATCCGTGGCCCCGGGGTCTCCAGGGCGGGGCTCACCATCCTGAAGGGGCCCGACCACCCCTCAGAGTAGAGCCCCGGGCAATGCTGTCCGGCACCAGCAGCGGGAAAGGAGCCTCCACACTTTGGCCCCAGGGCCCTGAGACAGAGCTTCACCACGGAGCCCCTCACCCACTGATGCCCTGTGTCACGTCAAGAAGTGGGACAGGTCAAGGGGCCCCCACATCCACATCCCTCTCCGCCTGAAGGGCAGAGGCCTCTTCCTGACCCCACACCCCACCCTCAACAACTGCCCCAAGTGGAAGGTGCTGGAACCTGGATATGGAGAGCCCACCCACCGGGTCACTCTCAGGCTCACCACCAAGAGCAGCGGGACAGCTGGAGCCATCCTGACTGGGCACAGCCACTGGGGTGCGGCCAAGGGGAGCCCAAAAGCGGCCACGCATTCAAGCAGCTCAGACAGGGCTGGGTGGGGAGGGGAAGGAGGCCCTCCCCTGAGGCCCCCATCCTTCTGCGGCCCCCTGCATCCTCTGGGAGGGCCATCCTGCCCACATAGCTCTGTTCTCAAGGTCACACTGCCCCACTGCCCTAAGGACAGTCTCAGATACCACCACAGCAATGCAGAGCTCTTTTCAGGAGCGAAGATTCAGCTCTTTTGTCAGGATTTTACTAAAATTAAGCAAGCAAATCATTACTGAGCTTTTTCCTCTCTGCTCACAGCTCAGCAATATTCTCATAATCTTCTGGCAGTTTAGGCCCACATGATTAAGCAGGGAGATGCATTTTCCCTCTTTCACCCAAATGAGGGTGAGAAAATTCATCCTGAGCACTTACTAGGAGGCTCCAGAAAGAAGGAATGGAAACATTCTTACTGAACTTCTACTCAGCACCAGACAAGAAATTCTTAGTTTTCCTCATTAATCCTCATCAGGATCCAATAAGGTGGCTCTGGTCTCCAAGGTCATGAGGCTGGGAAGCAGTGGTACTGACGTATAAACCCAGGTACGGTGCCTAAGAACTCGCCTCATGCAGGACGTGGCGCTGTCTTATGGAAAGGTCTGGGCAGCAGCAGAGCTGGAGGTCACAAAGGGCAGGGGTCCTGGGGTGGGGGGTGCGGCTTGGCAGTCAGGAAGGCCACAAGGGGTGGGGAGCAGCCTGACGGGGAAATGGGGGTTTGGAGGAGAACAGGTATTTCAGGCAGAGGGAACAGCGTGAGCACTGAGGCAGGGAGACAAGAAGCTTGTGTGAGGCGATGGGATGGGAGGCAACAAGCTAATCACAGTGAAGGAGAGGCGGCAGCCTGGCCAGGATCCATGGGGACACACTGGCGCCCTCGAGGTCCACATCTGACCTTGGTCTCAGGGGAAATGGGGCCAAACCAGGTGTGTGAGGGATAGATAACGAACACTGTCCAAGGAAGCTCTGTATGGGCACTGGGTTAAACCCAGATCAGAAGCAAGCCCAGTGGGACAGGGCTAGATGGCCAGGCCTGTGGCCACACCGCGGAGCACAATTCCCTCCCAGGGATGGCAGGAGCTTCCGAAGGGTCTTACGCAGAGAGGAAGTGGGAAAGGTGTGGCAGATCATAATGCCCGTGATGGCTCACAAAAGACACCCCAGCCCACGTGCTCTCCTTACAGGGCACCTCTGTCACTCTCTCTGGGGGGAAATTTGCAGGCCTATGGCTATGACAGAAATGGCACTCTGTGTGACTCCAAAGGCAAGGTTAAAAAGGCAGCACAGCTTCTGTCTGGAGAGCTCCAGCCCCCTCACA